CTACTGACAGAGCAAGGATCTGAGATGCTGAACTTGCCCAGTTATGGAAGCAGAGCTCAGCCACCCAGAGCCCACTGAACACATTTCAGAGGTGGAAAAGCAGCACATAAAATATGCCAAATAAGTCATCTACTCTTCCTTTCCATTTTAACTACAATCTCAGCTTATTGGTGCCGAGTCCTTTTCTTGAGGAGATCCTGTACAACTCTGAATCAATGCATTACTGAGGCTTTTTCCCAAAGTTGCCAGAACCGAGGAAGACAATTAAGAGATTTACCATCTGAGCATTTTACCAAAATGTCTAGAAGGGACAGAAATCTCCTGTTTATTTACTGAAAAACTTTTTCATCTTTCTGCATTCATGTCCTCAAGGAGGGAACCACCCTCAACTGCAGGAGACCCCAATAACCCCCATTCCATCCTCACACCTCTACACTGGCAAGCCTGGAGCCCACAGGGAGGTGCCCATGGCTGAGAATCTGTTTCTGGATTTCCTCTTAATTATAAGCCATAGAAACCCCCAGCAATGATGTGATAAACAAGGGTGGGAGCAGGAAAGGACAGCACTGGAGCTCCCAGGAAGGCACAGGAGGGGACATGCTGCCTCCTTCAAGCAGGACCCCCTGACAGATGGCACCTGGCACTGAAAGAACTCAGAGAAGTGTCTAAGAAAGGGCTCTGACTCAGACAGAATTTCCACTTCTCTGCACAACTGCACTTGTCTTTGCAGAGTTGAAAACACTCACTGCCAAGTGATGAAATGAGGCCTTGGAGGCTCCACCATTCATTATCACATTTCAGCCTGAGTGGTCTCCAAACCACAACTTCTCCCAAGGGTTTGAAATATTATTTTATTTATTTTTTAATTGTAGCTGGTTAAATATTGAGCCTTTATCTAAATCAGATATCTTCAGGTGCAAAATTATTGGTTTTTAGTAACTGCCTTTTATTTTCTACAGCCATTCTATTGAATGCTTGAGGTGAGCTCAGATCATTCTTGGTACTTGAGTTAAAAAAGACAGACTAAAAAACCAGGCAATCTCGTGCTCTTATTCTCACATTTCGAATTTGCATGGCCAGGCTTTAGTTATGGGGTGGCTTTGTGAGGAGCTGCCAGAAGCTTCCCCCTGTGTCCAGCAGAGCCAATTCCAGCTGGCTCCAGGATGGACTGGCCAAGGCTGGGCCCGTGGGTGACAGTGGCAGCACCTCTGGGGAGCCTTTAGGAAAGGGGAGAAATCCCCCTGGAACTGCAGCTGGTGAGAGGAGTGAGGATGTGTGAGAGGAGCAGCTCTGCAAACCCCCAGGGCAGGGCACGAGGGGCAGGAGCTGCTCCAGGAGCTGGAGCTGAGGTTCCCCCAGCCTGGGCAGAGGCAGCTGTGCCCCTGCAGCCCACGGGGTCCAGGATGGATCAGAGACCCCCCTGCAGCCCTGGAGGGCCCCACACGGGAGCAGGGGGTGCCTGAACCCCCTGTGACCCCCAGAACCCCACACTGGAGCAGCTCCTGGCAGGACCTGTGGAGAGAGGAGCCCAAGCTGGAACAGCTTTGGTTTGCTGGCAGGACCTGTGACCCCACAGGGACCCAGAGCAGCTCCTGAAGGACTGACTGCAGCCCATGGGAAGTTTTTAGGATGGAGCAGCTCCTGAAGGACTGACTGCAGCCCATGGGAAGGACCAGGCTGGAGCAGCTCCTGAAGGACTGACTGCAGCCCATGGGAAGTTTTTAGGATGGAGCAGCTCGTGAAGGACTGACTGCAGCCCATGGGAAGGACCAGGCTGGAGCAGCTCATGGAGCTCACTGTCTCCTGGGGGAAGGACCCCACACTGGAGCACAGGAAGAGTGTGAGGAGCCCTTCCCCTGAGGAGAAAGGAGCAGCAGAGACAACCTGGGATGAGCTGAGCACAGCCCCCATTCCCCATCCCCTGCACCACTGGGGGAGAGGTGGAGAAAGCTGGGAGTAAAGTTAAACTCAGGAGGAAAGGAGGGGTGAGGAAGAAGGGTTTTAAGGTTTAGTTTTTATTTGCCATTATCCTACTCTGATTTGGTTGTTAACAGATTTTTTTCCTTTGCTGTGTCAGTAACTGGTGAGGGAGCTCTCCCTGCCCTGATCCCTACTCACAAACTTTTCCTTCTATTTCCTCTCCCCATCCAGCTGGGGAGGGCAGGGATGGAGTGGCTTTGGTGGGCACCTGGTGTCCAGCCAGGGCCAATCACATGTACAGGAACTACAGCATGGACACTGGTTTAGGCAGAGAGAACCAATGGACTTCTCTCCTGTCAAAGGCTCACAAGGAGCACCAGTGTGTGTGCTGTGACCCCTCGCCTAGCAAAGATCATTAATGATCATCCAATTACCTAAAGCTTGGCTCAACTTAAAACATTCTCCAAAGGGACATTTGGTCTTAATTTGAAAACAAAGAAGAACAGAGAATCTTCCACTTCTCTTGTTATTTTGTTCTAGCAGTTAATCATCCTCATTGCAGAAAAACTGTCTTTGATTTCCTATTTGAATTGTGTAATTTCAGCCTCCAGGAAAGATCTCGCTTGTGTTTGTCTCTAGTACAAATGACACCACTTTCTAATACTGTTTTATGGCTCATGTACTTACAAGTTCCAGCCACATGTCCCTCCCATAATTTCAGATACCCAAAATACACTGGGCTGTTGTGATTAGCTTTTCTCCAGCCTTTAATCATCTATTTAAGTCCTTCTGGGCCCCCTCTGGTTACTTTCATCCATTTAAAGGTGGGCACCAGACCTACAGCTCAGGATTGTCACACAGGTCCCAGCAGTGTCACAAAATGGACTCCCTGTTCATCAGCTGCAGTCCAGTGAGAAGTCTCCATTTGGTTGCTTGCCCATGAGCTCCTGTAAAGCCTTTTCAGCACCATTCTCAAGGGTGTATTTCCCACAGACAGGACCTGCATGCCTTGGTTCCAGGGTCTGGATCTACTGGCACTGTCCTGAACCACTCTGGGTTTTCCATGGGTTGCACAGCCCAAAATACAGTGAGAAATTAAAGAGTTAATGCAACACCCTCCTCCCAGCTACTCTCACGTTGATCCTATTTCAGAGCTGAGAGGAAAAGCTCTGTTGGACTCACCCTTGAACACAGGTGAACCTGAGCTTTGCTGAGGTGTTTTAGCTGCCCTCAGCCCTGCCCCAGCAGCAGCACAGCCCCTCTCCAGTGCCTGCCTAAGGAAGTGCCCAAACACTCCCCTCCCAGCCAGGCTTGTACCAGAGGCTGCAAACAGAAGGAAATCCCAGTCCTCAGTGGTGAACCATCCTGGAGGGCCCAGAGCAGCACAGTGAGAGGCTCAGAAGACAACCTGGAGCATCTCCCTGTGCATGGGGTGGGGTGACTCATGGGAAGCTGCCTGAATCACCAAATTCCAGGGCACTGAAGGGTGGGGCAAAGAGTGCTTCAAGTGGACATGTCTCAAATTGTCCTGTGGTGGGTGAATACAGGCCACACACACCTCTCCACAACAGTCAGAAAAGCTTGTTATGCGTTTAAATAATTGAGTTTTGTTTGTATTTTGCTGTTAAAATACACTTATTGTCCCTTATACATTTTTCTAAGGACCAGTGACCTGCATACAGAACCCCGTGGTAGCAAACATGCAACCTGAGTACTTAAAAACAACATTTCTGCCCCAGAGAGGAAACTGGAATTCACCCATGCAATTAGGTTGGGTTAATGCTGTGGAGAGACATTATCTGATATCCTATTTTGTAATCCTCTGCTAAGCAGGATGCTGCTCACTTTGGGAGCCAACAGAACAGCTACTCACTGTCAGACCTGAGCAAAGTCACCAGCCATCCCTGAGGCTTTCAGATGAGTTCAGCCCCACATCTGGTAATGGTCCAGAGTCATTCAGACAGGTCAATAAATTCTACATTCAGGTTGAAGGTTTCTTTAAACCAATATTTATCAGTACAAACCTCAGGAGAAAAGACAACACTTCTCCTGTGAGCGGTGAACTTTACAATGTTCTTCTGATCATCAACTTATTTGGTTCTATGCCAATAATCTTTTACTCTTTTTCTAATCCTTAATTAATCCTTTTTATAAACAATCTGTGCTCAGCACATTCTGCTCAGAATAAATTTTTTGCAGTGTATATATATATCATAACAAGATCTTCAATATCCAGGCAAACATTTTCACATATAAGTAACTTCACTAGATGGGTGCATAAAACAAGAAAAATCACCTGACTCCTGAAAATTGAGCTCTCACACTTCCCTTGAGCTTGGTGGGAATTTGTGAGCTCTCAGCAGTTACAGACAAGACACTGAGGAAGTTTCCAACTTAAATTCATAATGCCTGACTTAAGGCACACTTCTGAAAATGCTGCCCTGAATTTTCCATTTCCCCTGGCAAAGCCAGGACTTCCCCAAATCACACACAGAAACATCTCTTTCAGATTAAAAGGGAAACCTAAAAAGGTCCTGGGAACAAGGAGGAAACAGTGATTTATCGTCTAGTTTTCCCCCACAAAAATAAAATCTTGTAATAGCATAAGACATTTCAACACACAGTTTCTATTTGTTCTTGTCACATTCAACCATAAGTGAACAATTTCTGAGCACTGTGCATACACAGAAATGACAAATACACATGCCTGACTAGACTTGTATTTGCAAATAGTGACAAAAATATGGTTTTGGCTGAACAAATTTTACTTTTTTCTATAAAAATGATACATGCACATTACAGTTCCATAAACACAAGTGATTTAAAGCACATAGTGCTTCTACCAGCCAGGTTGAAGCCATTTTGTAAATGCAGCCCTTCAAACAACCAAACACTACTTTTCTGGGCTGCTGCTTAGGAAAACACCACTGAGCACTTACAGATGGCAAATAAAAAAATAACTTTTGAAGCTGGAGCCTTGTGTGGGAATTTTGCCTGGGGAAGCAGCAGGATGAGGTCTCACTTTGTGCACTGGTCGCTAAAGGAAGCCAGAGAAGAAGGGCACGGCAGATCTGACTTACCACAAGAGCAGCACGTGAAGCAGTTGGTATGATAGAGGTTACCCATTGCTTGGCAAGCCTGGCTCGCTCCATACACACCTTTTCCACATTTTATACAAATACCTACAAAGCAGAAAGAGAATCAAAGTTAAAATCCTCCACAGCTCCTAAAAACAGCTCCAGGCTGTCGATTCACAGCACTCATGATACCCCCATCAGGCCCTAAATCAATGAGCTCCTCACCCTGAATAGATTCAAGTACCCAAGAGAGCAGCAGGCGGTTGCAGTGAAACAAATGCATGGAAATTCACCCAAAATGAAGGGGGGCCAAGCCTCTGCTGGTGTTTCAATGCAGGGAGACTGAGGCTGGCTGCAGACAGAAACCCAGAGGAGGCAGGTGCAGCCAGGAAGGACGGAGAAATCCATGCACTCCCTACAAACAACCCTGCCAGTCCAAGAAATCATTCAGTGAGACCTTCACAGCAAAGTGCTCCACCACATGACATTCAACAGACACTGATAAAACAACAATCCAGTCCAAGCCTGGAAGATTTCTCCTTGGCCCTCTCCACAAACACAATATCAAGTATGTTTGTCTGCAGTGAAAACCACTGGGAAAATGGATCTGTCAGTCACATTTAGTAATTGTTTCATGAACAGAGGATGTAACCTCATAACCACAACCTGGCACCTTACCACAGCCAACAGCAAAGCCTCTGCCTTCCTTTTGGTCTCAGGGCACAAATTCAGCTCACAGCTGTGCTTCAGTGGGCTCAGAAATTCACCTTCACTGCTCCTGGAAATGCCAGGGATGACTCCTGTGGAGTCCTCAGGAGACCAAAGCACCAGGAGCCAACAAGTCAGAGATCAGCTCTGCACATGGCAAACTCACAGGGAAGGTAATGATCTCAGTAAGTTCTTTAAAAGTCTTTTGCCTGTGCATTTATTTCTACCTATGCATAACCTCTCCAAATTCAAACCAAGGAAGGGAATTAACTCAAGGATTAATTTGGTTTTGTATCCCTATGAAGAAGAACTTAAATTCAGGGGAATCCATGTCCTTCTGTCACACAATTGGGACTACTGATTTTTAAGTTTTTCTTAGATGTCCACAATCATCTATTCAATTCTAGCAGGACAGCCCATCAAGACAAGGCTGGTGATATTTTTTTAATACTACAGTAGAAAATAAAAATGAAGATTATTTTTTTTTGCTTCAAACAACTCTAAAAAAACTGCTGTTGTTTGAGGCTCTATTTCTACAAGTGCAATCTTAGCATTAATCACTGGCACCAACAAAACTGCTAATACACCTAAGGACTTAGCAACTGCAGAAGTGCAAAACAGGCTTTTATCTTCCAGAATTCTTCTCTGCTGTGCTGTGAACATTCTATATAAGTACTGGCAAAATAAAAATGCAATTTCTTTTGGGGGAGATGAGCCTGTTTTGAACAGGTGTCCGTCTCTTGTTCAGGGAGACAACCCTCCATGAACTTCTCCAGCCTGGTCCTTCCCATGGGCTGCAGTCAGTCCTTCAGGAGCTGCTCCATCCTGGTCCTTCCCATGGGCTGCAGTCAGTCCTTCAGGAGCTGCTCCATCCTAAAAACTTCCCATGGGCTGCAGTCAGTCCTTCAGGAGCTGCTCTGGGTCCCTGTGGGGTCACAGGTCCTGCCAGCAAACCAAAGCTGTTCCAGCTTGGGCTCCTCTCTCCACAGGGCCACAGGTCTGGCAGCTCCTCACAAAGCCACCACACCACCCCAGTACAACACACCCTTTCTAAAACTGAGCTGTTTCAGTTCAGACCAGTATCAACACAGCCATCAGTATGAGCTGCGGGGTGTGATCAGATTAACTGGGACACTGGCAAGTGTAAAAAAGTATTTTTTCTATACTAGAAATTCCAATACTGAAATGGAAAGACCATTCATTAAATCACAGGGTTTATTGGTGTTTATACCTTTAACTCCCTCATTTCATGTCATGAAGGGATATTTTCTTTTAGCTAGCTCAACATCCTGGCACAACATTGCCATTTTAGACTATTTGTCAAATGGCATGATACATTTAAAACCCAAGACATCCATTAATATTTTTTTAAAATCTTAAACCTGATTTCAGAAATTTAGGGAAGCAAAAACTCTAAGATTAACAGCTAGACTGTTAAAACTCTAAGATTACCCAAGCTAGACCTATTGAGACAAACTAGCTGCCATTCAGATCCATCAGTTCATTGCAAACTTGTTAAGAGAATGCCAGTCCTTGGGTGAGCTCAGCCCTGACACAAGAAATGGGAAGTTCAGAACATCGGTTGCCTTATCCAAGGCTGCTGAGTCTGTTCATTTATTTGTAACCAAACATTATAGAAAACATCTTCTATTTGCCCTGAGTTACCTGAGCAGAGATGGCTGTGGGTCCTTGCAGACACTGACTGAAGAAGGGATGAGCTCCTCACTCCTGCCCAGGGCTCCTCTGGCTGTCCCTGCAGGAGCCTGGGGCAGGAGGGGCTGCACAGAACAGGGACACAGCTGCACCAGCTGCTGCCACCTCAGCACCTGGGGACAGAGGAAGCCCCTTCAGAGCCCCCCAGCCCCTGGGCACTCCTTGCCCACCTTCCCATGCCAACCCTGGCAGCTGCTGATTATCTGACAGGTTACACCAACAGAGCTACGCTGTCCCATCTACTTTCCACTTAAAGCTACTCAAAGAAGAGCAGAAATCCACAGTCTGCAACTCTGGCAATTCTGTCTCTGAGCTCTTGTGCACAAATCTACTACAGTCCAAACTGCTTTGATAAATGAAAGTTATTACCTCATTTCTTTGCCATTGCTGCACTGAACCATCACAAGCAAAAGAAGGATTTATTGTGGATGTTAAACCTGCACTGGCCTCTCCAAGCCAGTGATTTGTTAGGAGCAGCTGTCAGTTTGTTAACTTGTTTTCTCCAAGAGTAGTCATTAACTCCAGGAATGAATGAGCACAGAGATGATTAGCATACTAAAAAAGCGAATGTAAAATTCCAAAAGTGTATTTTGGAAAATGTATCTGCAGCTGCAGTGTGAGTTTAGTGTGAGCTCATAGCTGCCTAGGAAAAGCCCTTATTCCATGGCTGCTCAGGTCTGCTTTTCCACCAGTCACAGCCCAGACTGCACACTGCGGGCTTGTGAAGCCCTGACATAACAGCTACATCACTTTTCCCCCCAGAAATTCCCAGATTTAATTCCAAGGCTTGTTAAACCAGCTGTGAAGAATATTCTGTTGCAGAGCAAGCGTTGTCTCATTTCTGACACTTCCCCTGACATGACTTCAGATCAACTTCTGCCTTTAGACGATTCCTTGCCCCTCCTCACACCTCAATTCTGAGCAGCCAGCTGTACCCCAGACCTTTAACGCATCAGCTCTCCCACAGATCTGGTGTCTCTACCCAGAAGAAGACATTACAAGATGCTGTACATACTCCAAGTTGCCATGAAGGCTGGCTGAGCCAGGAGCACAGTGTCACAGCAGTCCTGGGCTGGGGTGGAGATACATTCACACCCTCCCCGAGTGTTTAACCAGACAGGAGAGTGGAGACTGAACCAACACTCCGTGGAGCAAAAGACCATCAACAAAAATGGTACTGGAAAGAGAAGGAGCTCCCAGAGACTCCCTGCTGGACTCCAGCACATGGCCAGTGCTCCCCACACCTTTCAGCAGCCCACTGAGCCTGACCACACCACGAACATCATCTCTGGACACAAGGCAGGCGAGCCTCCAGCACGGCACAGCCACAGCCATCAGAGCACAGCGCTCCCTGGGCAGCTCACACACCAGCAAACACAAGTATCAGCACAGCAGAAAATCACACAGCTATTTTCTCATGTGTTCAGTGACTGCTCCAGACCTGAGACCAAATGAAATGCATTATAATTAGCAAAGGTACCAGCACCAACCCGTATTTCAGACTGCTGGTACTTGTGAGAGTTCCCTGTAGCAGCCTGTGCATTACAAGAAGTTCAGTTTGGGACCTGTACATCAGATCCTCTAATGCTTTTTTGGCCACACCAGTACAGGCTGCTACTTCCTACAGACTTCACCAGGCAGCCAGAAGTAGGGAAAAGACTGATAAATGCCTTGCAGATCATGGCAGATATTTAACCACCTTTTGGCCCAACTTTGTCCACAGACACAAGTGGAATTCAGCCTGTGCCTGATGCCATCCTCATGCAACCTAAAGGCAAAGGTTTAGCACAAATGCAAGAAAAATGGTTCCATGTGGGCTCTCAACTCCAGCAGGCAGCAGCTGTGTGAGCTGGGAGGATGCAGCTGCCACAGACTGAGCACCATGGCCCAGGGAGGAGCTGCAGCTTTTCTGTCTTGCAGCCACACCGTATCTCCAGGAAAACTGCTACACGCTGCCTACAGCAGGAAACAACCAAGCCCTGTCATCAGGAGTTATGGTAAAGCTAAAATTAACAGCTAACACATGGCACAGATGACTCCCTGCTCTGCAGTTCTGGGAAAAGGGCGGATGAACGTCACATTGGGCCATGTAAAATCCCCTTTTCTTCTCTCAGAGATGGAAAACCATCTCTGCACAAGCCCCAAACAAGATTCTCCACACCTGCAGCCTACCCACGGCACAGGGGCAGGGAAATGGACACCCACTGCCAAGGAGCAGGGAGAACAAACGAGGAGGGAAGCCTCAGCTCCAAACAAGAAGCCAAACTGCAGCAAGAGCTACAAGAGCAGAGGGCTGCAGCAGACACCTGCAGGTGCCCCTGGCCAGGGGAGCTGTTCCCACACCACCTGCAGCCAGGGATGTCACACAGGGTGCTGCTGCTACCTGTAAAATGTGTTTTGCTAGGAACCAGGTAAGCAGTGAAGCCCCAGAGCTGCCACTGCTGCTGCAGTACCTGCTGAGCTCCCGTGCACGCCCTGGGCTGTGGCAGCTCGGATTGAAGAGGTGATTTCAGGGGAGAAAAATGCTCTTTTCCTTCCAACAACCACAGGAGGAGGGATCTTCCAACACACACGTCATCCCTCAGCCAGGCACAGACAGAAGACTCGAGGCACCTGCACAGGGCAGAGCGAGGGAGGCAGCCCAGGGAGCCCTCCCAGTCCTCACCACCACGGGCAGCTCTCAC